ATGAGGTATGTCATTAAAAAAAGAAGTAACTTAATGAAAGAATGCAGGATGGATAGATTGCAGAAGGGAGAGTAGTTCCCCACCAGAACGATAAAGGTTATTCCAAATCATAAACAGTAAAAAAAAAAAGAAACATTAAACAATAAGCCACATGGCTTTATTAGAGTGTGTACTGTTGTGATTATGTTTTAGGGAAGGGGATAATGACAATGTCATCAACATTTGCAGTTTAGGCGTTTAACTAATGCTGTGATTCAGAGGGACTAAAGTAACAAGTGCCAGGGGTTGGAGCAACAGGATCCAAGCAAATATGCCTTTGTACATACAATGTGCATACATATGCTCAATGTCTGGTTAAAAAACATAAGGCAGGTAAAAACCTGACTGTGAAATATGAACAAAATGTTCTTCTCTTTTCTAGGGAATATTATACCATTTAATGTGGAAATAATTGAGCTAACTGAACTACAAAGAGAAAAAATGATATTCAGAACTAGTCTCTGTGAAGTAAAGCCCTGTACATTGTACTTCATGGAAGAATTTAAGGGTGTATTTCAATGATATTAAATGCAGCTGGGGGTAAAGTGACAGTAACCGAGCCGCAGGAACACAGCTTCCACTGTGAAGTATGACAAATAATGAATTCACACCATACCACCCCTCTCACCTAATCACATTCAGGAATCAGCAAAACCATTTCCTTCAGCTCTCCCTGCTAATACATTTCCGGAATAGAAATCATGATCCACAAAATAATTCCTGTGATATTATCAGCGAATCTAGAATTGTTTGGTAAGACTGTGCTTTAAAAAGGCTGGCCGCAATAAAAATGGACTGAGATTGCAGAGATGTTCTTTTTCAATTAAATCTGCTGGCAATTGCGCAAACCAAATTATTTTATTCTATAATGACTATGCTACTATTACCAACACACCCTATCATACTGGTAGAATACCAATTGTGAAACCTAGCTCATTCATTTTTGGGGTTAATTAAGGTTATTTTTGGATTTCTTCACTTAAACATCAAATATCCTTAATTTCGTTTCTTACCCCAATTCCATGAAAAGCTACTGTTGAACAAATCGCCTGCCCATTATGGCCCTGATGGGAATTAGAAGCCCATTTCCTTTTTCTTTTGCTCTCCTCCCTCTGTCCCCTCTTCCTTTCTCCTCCCCTCATCCTCCCTGCCATAGATGGACGGGAGAGATTTACAGTTAGGGGTCACACAGTGGTTCTAATTAGCTTAAGTAGGTTGGGAGGAATAAGCACTTCCTTTGCTGAGACACATCACCAAGTCCCACAGCTCTGTCTGACTAAGCAGAGAGAGGAGGACGGAGGCGGACAACCGACCTCTGTCTCTGTCAGCCCTTCTGTCCCTCTGTCTTTCTGTGTCCTATTCTGTATATTCTGTCTTCACTGGTGCTGAAATTTTCCCAGTATTGCAACACAGGCATACTTTGACAATAGAGAACTTCAGCGATAACTTATTGGAAGAAATTTGCTCGTCAAGTACATAATGATGACAACCTTTCAGCAGTGGGTGTACTGAAAGGTAGTCTGGAAAATATCTATCATCACAACCTCCAAGAAATGTCACACATGCTGTATGACGCCCCATCGCAGCTGTGCCAAGTTTATTTTTTTGTGTTTTCCTTCGAGTGGAATGTGAAATATTGAATAAGCTGACAGTAAATAAAAATATTACCGTGCCAATGCTAATTAATTCTTGAGAGACACTCATGGACATGTTCTTTGACCTTGACAAAGTCTATTTAGCCTGTAATAGAAACCCTCAATAAGTCACCATTTATTTTTTGTGACATAAAATGTGTGTAAAATTTGCTTTGACAGTTGGCAGGAAGCATAGCAAGTGTCTCCTCCTGCATGTGTAAGTGTCTCTCTTTATGTCTCTGTGTGTGTGTGTGTGTGTGTGTGTGTGTGTGTGTGTGTGTGTGTGTGTGTGTGTGTGTACCTCTCTCTGATGTCCAGAGAAGGGATCTGTTCACCAGAAAAACATGGGCTCAATTCCCAATACCCTGCAGGAAATCTGCACAATTTCAAAAACTCAGGGGAGAAGACTCTCCTTTCCAAAAACAAACAAAAAAACCCTCCCCTTTTTGGATCAATCTGTGACAGGTTCTGCTTTTTCCTTTGGCAGAGGCGTTTGTTTTGTCTCTGCATTTCTCCAGCCCTCCTTCCCTGTCTCAGGAGCACTCCACCCCCACTGATGCTAAAATGTAAATAGCATTTTTAATTAGAATTGTATCTTCTGTTTGGATTTTGCTATCAGCACAATCCCCTGTTAGTACAAGGTAACAATTTGCCTCCCTGTTGACCCAACCCACTCGTCTCTGCCCTTTCTCTGTGTGTTTAAGAACCTGTCCCACCTCCTACCACACTCCTTTTATGTTATTTCTCACATTGTGCCCTGTCTATAGAGGTACACCCTGGAGTGTTAGAAAAAGAAAATGCATTACAGTCCTTCACTGGCTATACTGAAATTATACTGTCTTAGGGTGGCAGCTCACAGCTTTTATCGTTTTCGATAAAGCAATTGGGTTTTATTTATGATAAACTGATCCATGTGTAAAATGTCAGAGAAATGCCCCTGGCGAGGAGATGTCTTTAAGGAGGAGATGGAAAAATATTATATTGGAATGATATAAAAATTGAGAAATGCAGAAAACCCTTAAATATGAGAAGATGGAAACAAAGACAAAGCTTGTCATTTTTGCAGAATAAATGACAATTTTTTTTGTCGATTAATTTTCTCAGTCAATTCATTAATTGCGTAATGGTTTCAGTACTATACTGTTTAGCTAAGCAACAAGGTACTGTTAGAAGAACACAAATGGAGCAGTCTTGATATGTTATATTATTGATGATTCTGTGGACATTTCTGATTACTTTTCTATTTTATAATATTTTTGGTTCTAATGGGTGATTTCATTCCACTTCTTTCTCTTAAAGGTCACTCTTCCTTTGCCACACACTGCACTCAGTACTGTGACATCTTTAACCTGGGATATCTGTTGATTAATTCTGAGTTTCTGTCCCTATTTTTTATTTGTCAGTTGACTACTCCTCATTATAGCTACCCTGCTTGTCTTCTGCTCCTTACAAACAAACAAGTGTCTCTGCTGCCAGATGCCTAGGACACAACACCTTCTGTGAACCAAGAAAGACTAGCCTGACACTGAGAATAAATGATTTGATGAATGATGATGGGGGAAGCACTTTGGTGTGGCATAAACACAAAAGCTAACCAAAACATGAATCCGTTTATATGAAAATGCTGTTTGACATTATTGCTAAAAATACTGAAAAGCTGAGACAGAGAGACACAGAGGAAGAGAGTGATGGTTGTTTCTCTTTTGCCCACTGACTGCTTGGCACAGTTCTGTGGAACTGAAAGGCCTCCCACAGCTCAAAAAAACCCTCTCCTCCTTCCCAGCCCATCCCTTCTTCTCTTTCTCCCCTCATCTCTCCTCTCTCTGTTTCCTCCTCCTCTCCCCTGTTTATCTCCTTGCATTGCCGACACATTTGTCAAGTGGTGTGACTTGTCATTCATGCCAGCTTTATTGAAATCGAATAAGCAATCTATTGTTGACAAAGAAGACGCGACAGGACAAAGATTTCAGACTATAGATCTCCCTCACCACACTCCTCCCTCATTCTCTCCTCCACGTCTCCCTAATGCCTCCTCTTAGTTCAGCCTGTGTGTGTCTTAGTTGAACCTGTTTGAAAGTTGAAAGTCCTCTTTATGTGCACGTGCCTTTTGCGTGTGTGTGGTGTACACTCAAATGTGTGTGTGTGTGTGTGTGTGTGACAGAGAGATGCAGTTGGCTGCTCAGTTGGATAGAGGCGGATATGACTGGAGCTGGATTGACTGACTGGCAAGCGGCTCGACTGCTGCTGGGAATACTAACATGACACAACCTCACACACACGTTGGTTGCCTACCTGCAAGTTTGTACACACATTGAGCAACACACACACACACACACACACACACACACACACACACACACACACACACACACACACACACACACACACATAAACACCCATATACGATTAGACACAAATAGCACAAGCTGCAGAACCACACCTCTCCACAGCATCCCTTTATCAGTGGGCTATATCTCAACTGTTTGAATGATTCACTCTGAAAGGTGCCAAAACACAGCCGTCTTCAGTCATACATCCACACACACCCATTCAGCCACACACGTATACACATGCACACTCGCTCTCATCCCGAGTCAGACTCTGTTAACAGAAACACACACACACACACACACACACACACACACACACACACACACACACACACACACACACAAAGAAGAGAGCTTAAAGAGAGAGAGAAAAAGCATTTCACTTTAAACCTTTGCTGCTGGAGGGCTTGAGGGTTCAGTCCAATACCAAGGCAGAGCTACCAGATATTAAACATGCATGTAAAGGGCCTGCAGGTCCTAAAGCTCAGCTGAGATCAATCCTCAACATCAGACTTTACTGGAAGAAGACATTTAGTTGTGCAACTTAAGCATCTGAGTCCCCAAATGGTCTTTTAATCTACAATTCCAATTATCCACATTATTGTATTTTTTTATATTTCTTTTCATAATGCTATTATTCTAGTCATTCTTCAGATTGGATTTAAGAATAATTGCTCATATTATCCCTGTTGCAATTACCTTTCCTTACATTATTCCTTTGCCTTAAGCCAGGCTTAAAATCTGGCAGGTGAGAAGAGTTTTTGCTCCAGCTCAGACACCAAAATCCTTGCCACAGGCTAATGGGTCAGTCTGGGGTTCATGCGTGAGTGTCACCTTTCTGATAAAGGTCTAAATGAAAACATGTTTGGCCGTAGGCTGCATATTTAAGTACACCAAAAAACCTTCAGTGTTTTTTTCTGTTCCTTTAAAGATGACTGCTACAGGTGCATAGGGACAGCAACCAGACGCAGAAAAACACATACACAAACAGACATACCTTAGTCACAAGAGGTTCGGTGTCCTCCAAGATGGAAATGAAGGGGATTTCCAGGAAAGATGAGAGGAACTCCACCTGGATCAGCTCCTCCCTGGAGCGGGGAAAGGCAAGCACAGCAGACACCCCTCTGACCACCAGGTCCTGGCAGGCGCTACGGGACAAGGACTCCGGGTCCCCTCCCGCGGGCGATCGAGCCACCATCTCCAGGCTCAGGTTGTAGGGCAGCAGAGGAGGTGTTTGGGAGGTTGTCGTGGAGGAGTCTGCCCCTCCGCTCTGGTGCCTGAGGCTAGCCAGGGCGCGGTTGAGCGCGTTTTGTATCCGTGCCGGCTGGCGGGTCGGCAAGAGCGCGCCGAGGCGCACGGTGTGTCCTATCCGGGCGAGGATATGGCAAGGCTGTGGGTGCGGGAGGCACGGCTCCGGGGAGGTGAAGACTGTTAATAAAAGAAGCAGCAGGAGCGGTCGGGCAGAGAGGAAAAGGAGATGAGGTCTCCCAGGGGCGAGGCAGTAGGTCCAGAGTCCAGAGAGAGACACCATGCTGCAGCTCCGACACACAACAGAGGAGGACTGGGCTCTGATCAACGGGAGATGGCATAGCTCCCTCTTTCTCCCGGCTCCACCGCTTTTCTCGGACTTGATGGTTCTTTTTTCTTTCCCCCCTTTATCTTAGTTGATGCGCGCTGTCAACGGTGATTTGTCGGCGGTTTGACGTTTCGCCTCTCACCTCTTCAAAGTTTTTATGTCAACAGTAAAAGACGCGCTGGTGGAGGAGAGAGATGAGCGCTCGCAGCTTAGAGCGGTCGCCCCGCTTCTGTCAGTCTCTGCTGGAGGAAGGCACACCAGCTGTGAAGTGTGTGTGTGTGTGTGTGTGTGTGTGTGTGTGTGTGTGTGTGTGTCCACGCGCCTGCCGGCCAATAATCTAACCTCTCACGGAGCCTGCCTCTTGTTGAATTTTAATGAAAACTCGTCGGGTAACATTTCCTTCCGCTTCTTCGGGTCCCATAGAGAATTTGCACTTAATGTTTTTCATTCAGAATTAAAACTACTAGCAATCGAAAATGTTTCCTCGTGATTATTTTATGAATCCTGTGGAAATATAAACAATGCAACAGACATTGTGGACCACCCTCTTTTCTTTTTTTTCCTTTTAGATTTTTTTTCCTCTTATTTCTGTTTCTGCATTCTGGAGGATTAACTCACTTACCTACATTTTTTTCCATTAACACTTTGCCCTATGGCAGGCATAAATCTATCTAAAGACACACACATTTAGGGCATAATAAGAATTAAAATGCTGTAAGTTTCCAAATGATTGATTTTTTTAAGAGAGAAAAAAGTGATGCTTTTCTGAAATTGGTTCCTGTTATAAATGGTGGTAATTTGTTTTGTGAGGTAATGGTCCACTTTTAAGCACCTTTGCAGCTCTGATCACGATGTCCCTGCCAGGTTGGCCAACACAAAGCTAATAGCTTGCTGAAATCTCAATTTTCCTCAGAGATTTATTCCCACTTCCTTCCTTGCCGTCCAAGTAGAACATTATCCGTTGTGTAACCACATCTTTTCAGCACCACGGACAGCGCCAGTGCCATAAAAGAGATCTACTGTGCATGCTAATTTGGCTTCATGCAAGGGACAGCACTCAGTCCTCCCTTCATCCATTCTGCACTCACTTCTCTCTCCCCTGATCTAATTTGCCATCGTTAGAGCAGAACATTCAGTAAATCTCTTTTGTCAACCAAGTGAAATATGGGCAGTGGTGTGTGTGGTTCTTGGGGTCCCCACTCTGTCTTTTTCTGATAATTCCCTGTATGTCAGACACCTCTGATGCTTCAAAGGTCTGTCTCCTTGTGTTTCCTTGTCTCTGCTTTTCTTTCTTCCTCACTCTCTGTGGCTTTGGCATGGGGTGATGCTGCAGGGCCATTTCAGCGTATGCTCTGACATGAATAGGTTTGTCTGGCGCACCTGCAGATAGAGGTATCACTCCCTCTCTCTGTCTCCCACACACACACACACACACACACACACACACACACACACACACACACACACACACACACACACACACACACACACACACACACACACACACACACACACATTCCTAGGATCAACAAGTCATTTCACAGCCTGCTGGGTGACCTGGTGTGATATTGGTGCAGTTTACTGACAAATCTGATACAGTTGGGCAAAAAGTGTTTTCTTCCTCCTCCTCCTCCTCCTCCTCATGCTCTACTTGCTCCATATAGAGAAAAGATGAAAACCAACACCGTGGGCTTTGTTCTGCTGCAGAAACCAGGAGCATTAAACTTGCATGGAGCTTCACTCACTCTCCCTCAGGTACCTGTTGAAGCTGGGCAGGACCAAGTACAAACTAAGCATTTCAAAATGTATTTCTTGTTTATTTTGCAAAATGTGATGACTACTGGGTCAAGGTTAGTTCATAACAAGGTGCCTTATACAAAATTTGTAAGTGTCTGAATGCACCAGACTGCTGCTGCAACTTTCTAGAGCCGAGATTTTTAAATTGTATCCACAATGTCCAGAAAATACCCAATGTTTCAAAACAGTTTTTCTTCTTACCTTATAACCATATTTGGTGTACATTATCTTCTTATATAAACATATTATTTATGTTGCATCCATTTGACAAACAGAAAATTAAGTGCTCAGATTTCTAGTACTTATTGTGTTGGCTGTATGTAAATTGAATGCTTATATATTATGCACTGTACTGTACTGTACTGTATCATTTTAAGTTTAGTTAATTATTTCTAATGTAATTTAGTGGTGATTCAGTATTATAAGATCTAACAGAAGTAACACAACAGTATAAGGGGAAATAGCAAAACATACGATGACGGAAGATCTCCACCCACCTGAAACTGAGCCTGCATGTGCCCATTAGCAGGACACTACTGTGATGCCTATATGTAGGGATGCCATTTGTACATGTTTAGTCTTATTTGCTTCTGATTTAAAAATTTTCAAACAGATTTTGAGGAAATCTAATGTGGAATCAAATTTTTCCAAGTTAAAAATTACTCTTTCTCTGGTGGTTTGGGGCAATATCCCCTGGGGGCAGCTTACATCTCTATTTCACTGAACTGTTGGATTATTGTTGAGGTGTCAAATGATTAAAAGACACAAATTAGCATGGTCTCTTAAAAAAATAATTATATAATGTATTCATTAAAGTACTGAAAATCAACTCATACTCTGATTATGCTAGTAGTTTGTTTGCTTACAGGAAAACCTAACCACTAACTACACATTTAAATCAGATAAAAAAAAAAAAACACAAAAAAATAATATTGGTGGTTATTTTGTTTTATTTTAGGCCTTAACCGTTTAACACTCAAATATCACTAAGGTAGTCCATCTCAATTAACTTGACCTTTTAAAAGCAGTTTATTTTGCTCTGTGTAAATGAGAAATCAATAAAACCAATGCAGTTGATTAGATAGCACTTATTATGTAGTTATCTACAATCAAACTTTACTCTCAGGGGCAAGGGGTCCCTTTACAGTTGCTTATTTTGTATGATTTTCTATGACAACTACTTTCAAAGGTCCAGTGTAAGATTTAGTGACATATAGCGGTGTATTTGCAGATTGCAACTCCATCACTTCACTCTCTCCTTCCAAGCGCAAAGGAGGAAACTATTCAGAATGAGTGAAAAACGCAAGAGACCCTATCTAGAGAAACATGGCGGTTTAACATGGCATAACTGCACGGAAGGCAACCTGCCGTGTCTGTAGATATATATACGGCTCAGTCTAAGGAAAAAAAAACATGATGATCATTTTTTCCAGATTAATTTGCACTAATAAAAAATATTCAATTTCTGCCAATGGAGCCTTCTAAATGTTAGACACTGGACCTTTAATTGTACACACACACACACACACACACACACACACACACACACACACACACACACACACATTACTCCCAAAACTGGTTTGGTTTGCGTATACTAAACCTCATCACCTCATATTTCGTCAGTAAGTCTTAAGGGGGGCATCTTCCCCCATCGCCGCTAAAAATTTCATACCCCCCTAAAAATATCAATAAAATCACTCAGAAAAGATACAGTGTAAGGCTTAGAAAAAGCAATCCAAATCAAATCCACCATGCGAGTGAAAAGAATTAATTGTGTAAGAAATTATATGCATTGTTAAGTATAGACTCAATTTTGGGGGCTGGTAAGTGGCTGCATGACGAATTGAATCGTTGGGAGCACTGGGAATAGATTTCTTAGCAGTAGACATAAACAGAACTGCAACATGCGCACCGAGATGTAATTTTATTTTTGGGCAAGGTGACTTGTTCCTACTTGTTGCTCTCTTGCATGGATATCAAGCTGTATTCAAGAATAGAATGATTGCACAATTACATTTCAGCAGCACAATACATTCTAGGAGGGCGGTTGCTTATTTAGGGTCTCAAGTGTGATTGTAAACCCCGTGCGGCACCCAGGGAGAGCGATGACTGGGACATGTCCTTAGTTTGTCCCCAAAGGTTGTATACAGGTGTCCCACATGCACACTTTATCTGTATTACTGTTTCATATTAACAGCTTCTCCCCCATGGGTGTATTTGTTTTGATTATGTACATTGTAAGGGATTAATATGGAGAATAGGATTAAGCAGGCATCAGAAACCCAATTAAAGTAGCCCTTCATCTTTGCTAGCGGGGACCATGTCTCTCTTTCACTGTGTGAGATCCCTCCTCCTGTCTACCCATCACCCCCTGCCCTCTGTTTTCTCTGCACCTCCTTCTGCCTACCCTGTGTTACATTTTAACATCCTGCCTTCCTCCATTTCCCTTTCGTTTATCTTCCCAGCTCCACCCATTTTGTCCTGCCTTCACCTTCATCCCCTTTTTCCTCTGATCTTTTCCTCTCTCATCCCTCTTTCATATTTTGTGTCTCTTTGAGGTAGACAGCACATTTGCTATTTGCCCCCAAACATACAAGCCACACCATTAAACCACATCAATGAGTCATTCCTGAACCAAAACTGTAATTACACTGGTAAAAGACTGCTGGATAACATAGCGGTTCAGCTGAGGGGTGAGCCAACAACAACTGCCAATTTGAGTAAGGGTGAGTGCTCTGTGAGGGGGGATAGTCTGTCTTTGTGTGTGTGTGCGTGTGTGTGTGTGTGTAATCCTAAGTAATCTGGCAGTACAAACCCAGGTAGCACAGACACTGTTGAAATGCCAGGGAGCTCTGAGTTAGTATTCCTGGCACAGCGCTAAAGGCACTAATATCACCTTTTAGCACAATGGTCGCTAACAAGAAGCAAGACGGAGAGATGGGAAGAGAAGGGCAGAGAGGGAATAAAAAGAAGAAAGACAAATAATCAAGTGTAGCAAAGCTGGAAAGGGTTGTAGGGAGCAGGAGAATGTACACAAGTGAGGAGAAATGGGAATGTTTAGGGAAGATTTGCAGTTGGCGTCTTTAGAGTTGAAACAAATTAACAACATGAGTTCCTTTCACCCTCTGCTCCCCCTGATGTACAAAGACACTGGTCCATGGAGAGCGACTTATCTGGAAGCAACAGCAGCACCCTGCATGTGTATGTGTGTCTTTGTGTGTGTCTCCATTTTTCAAGAAGTGAGTATGTGTGTCTGTATTGTATGCATATGTCTCGTGATATACGTGTGTGGTAAAGTGCACACATTGTGGGGGCTTTTGTGTATGTGTGTCCCAACTTTTACCTAGATTTTATTGTTTTGTTTCACAATCACTGCTCGTGTAGCACTTGGCTTGTTCAAAAATTGTGTTATATAGACACTCACTCACCCTTGCGATCTCATAAGACATTTTTATTATGAAGGCAGTTTAAGATTATACATTTATGCATGTTATTTTGTAACCTAGGGATGGCAATGTCCATCTCCAGCAGAGTGTGATGGTTGCTTGGTCCACCACTTTGGTCCCAACTGAACTATCTCAACAACTATTTGGTGGATTGTCATGACATTTTCTAGAGACACTCATGGTCCCCAGAGGATGCAACCTAATACTTTATTGATCCCCTGACTTTTCTTATAGCGCCACCAGCAGATCAAAGTTTTAAGTTACACAGT